TCCACCCAGACATCTCAGAGGCTTCTCATACTCACTTAGCACACAAAATCGAAATCAGGAAAATCTTCCTGAAATGCTGTCCGACTACTGGCATCACCATCCTCCTTAATTTCCCCCGTTCAGGGTATGAGGTGTTTTTGACTCAATCTCCCTTACTCTGACTGCACCTAACAAATCAGCAAGTCCCGTTAGTTCTATATAGAAAATCTTGCCATCCCCACTGGTGTCACTCTAGAGTTTCAATGATCATCACCTGAGTCTCCATGGATGGCTTTTCTTTGTTCTTCCTGCCTCCAGTCTTGACTTCCTTGACTCTGGGACCAGAATAATCTTACTAAAATATAAATGGATTCTCATGAGCAGGGATCTCTGTTTTATTCACTGATGACCACAAGAGCCTAGCTAGGCAATTGATCCATATTTGTTGAATGAGTGAATGAATGAATGAATGAATGATGTCACTCCTCTGCTCAAAACTCTTCAGTAGCATCTCCCGGCCTTAATAAAACTCCTTGGTTTGAATTTCCAAGACCCAACAAACCTTGTAAATTGCTGACCTGGTCTTTGCCTACTTCCTCAGCCTGTCTCCAGCTGTGTCTTCTGCCACACCCTCTACCATCTAGCCGTGAGTATCTTTTTCATGCCTAGAATTCAAGTTTCTGTTCTATTATTTTCTTTTCCCAAAACATGCTGCTTTACCCTCTTGGTTCCTTCGCCTGATTCTTGCTCATCCCTAAGCCATCACCTGATATTGAGACCTCTTCTGAGAGGCCTTCATTGACCCCTGTAGATGAGGCTGGATTCTCTGCTGTAGAAGCAGAGATTGTGTGTATCTTGGCCACAACTGCATTCTCAGCGACTGGTCTACAGGAGGTGTTGAAAAAATGTTTACTGAATGAATATGAGGTTGTGGGGAGAAATCCATAAGCAGCAGCTGCACCATGATCAAAATGGAAATGAGTATCTGCAAGAAGCAAGGCGGAGGAAGAAACAATGTCACTGAAGATCAGCTTGACAGTTCATCAAACACTTCCTGCATATGTGCCAAGCAGAGGACAAGATGACTAAATGTCAGCTCTTATTAATAGGACTGTGCAAGCAGGGACTAATGGACCATTCATTCATTAACTCACTCAGCATATTTTGAGCCTATACCAGGAGCCAGATGCTATAAAAAGTGGTGTGGATGCCAAAACAAATAGATGCAGACTCTCCTCTCTGGTCAAGGTCCAGTAAAATCACCCAGACTCTACTCCGACTGCCCACAATCTGGTGTATTTTAGGGAGTGTCTTTGACCTGGGAAAGGTCCTTTGCCTTTACATCTTCAGAGATCAGTACTGCTGGAGTGGCTCTCCTAGACCCAGTTCCAAGTGTTAGTACAGAACCAAATTAGTTTGGGCATGTGGACATCAAGATACGATTCTAGTCCACAGAAAACTCTTCTACTTAGATTTCCAAAACTTTCAGTTCAATCCCAAGTAAGCAATGAACACACATTCTTGGTGACTATAGAGCTTTGATATTTTGTGGTAGAATCATTTAAATTCCACTTTGATTCCATGAACTTTGGTCCTAGAATAAGGAAAAACTATTTTGAACATCTGAGACCAAGACAGAAAAATTAAGTTGTCAAACACGGATCTGTGTATTCAGGCACATTATCAGTCTAACAATGAAAATTTTTTGAAACCAGAAAAGGTAATCAGTACTTTAAAGTGTATCTTGTGAAACAAAATACATCACATATTAGTAAATGAGGTAAGTAAAGGGGTCTGAGTACATAATGGGCTAAATGCAAATGCAGGGCAACACGGGGCGGGGGGGGAATCCAACAAATGATGGCTAGAGTTGTCATAAACTCAGTAATTTCTCATAGGAACTGGAGCCTAGGAATCGATGTCTGCTGCCTCCACACATTCCAAAACACAGTTGATCACATTTAACTATAATATATCCTATATAAGGGCAAGAAACATTGACACATTTGTTACTTTAAAAAAAAAATGCCTAAAATGAGAATCTAAATTGCCAAATAAGTCTTAGAGGGTACTTGGGTAGGCCTGCTATTTCCCTGTGAGAAAAACAGAAAAGCTCACAAAAGGGTACAAAATGAGACAACTACCATGAAAAGAAAAGATTCATCAATAAACACAGTCATTGTGTTCTTCTGTTCCCATGAAAGGCGAGCTTTTTCCTTTGTTTGTTTCACTTCCAGCTCATCTTTAGAAATTAGCCTGTTTTGCAGTCTTCAAGCTATGTCATTATACTACTTCTAGATGGTTTTTACCCTTTTCAAATCTGCTTCTTCCCATAAAAAACAAAACAAATAAAACAGACCTACAAATGTGTATGGAAGCTCACTATATCCCCCCTGACTACCCTTAGGGTTTGACAATTTATAACCAGAGAACAGGATTCTGATATTCAGAAACTCTGGAGTATCCCAAGGCTGGGTAAACTACAACAGAGCCCCAAAATGGCCAGTCAATTTAGCATCTGCTCTGTTAAATAAATGGGAAGGAAATAATGAAAAAATCCCATTTTTCTCATCATGTATTCATAATAATAGGATCCTTGCAACACTGACAGTTCTCTATATAGTTACGGAATAAATGACAATGTTTTACTTACATGCTAAAAGTAAAGCTATGTGCCAATATAAACCCAAGAATTTGTATTGTATTAAAAACACTAGATTCATATGAAATCTCAATGGACCCCAAATAACCAAAGCTCCTGGCAAAACTGGCTCTAGGGGGATAATGAAAAAAAAAAAAAGAGTGAAAGCAAAAATAGTGCTGAGAATGCAAAGGTGGATATAAGTGAAGATGTTTATTTATTTATTTTAAAGATTTTATTTATTTATTTGACAGAGAGAGAGAGAGCACAACTAGGCAGAGTGGCAGACAGAGGGAGAGGGAGAAGCAGGCTCTCTGCAGAGCAGGGACCCTACACGGGGCTTGATCCCAGGACCCTGGGATCATGACCTGAGCCAAAGGCAGCCACTTAACAACTGAGCCACCCAGGCGCCAAGATGTTTATTTTTAATTATGTTTAAATCAAAGGAAAATACTAAGAAAACTTGGTTAATACATCAGAAAATAGATGAAAACACTTTCTAGAAAATACAAGTAACCGAAAGTAATTTGAAGAGAAAATTCGAACATCCCATTAATGAAATAAAATCAGGAGTTAAAAACCTACCAACCGAAAACACCAGGCCCACAGCCTTTTACAGGTGGATTTCTTCAAAACCTTCAAAAACATGTAATCCTATAATATGGCAAAAGAAAAGCAACCCAACTTAGTTACGAGAATAGAACAATGTTTTCTATTTCCTGGGCAATTCAGTGCTAAAGCCATGAAGTAGAACAGAACAAGATACATGTGGGAGGGGAGTGAAAGGCAAGGGGCCCAGGAGGGAGCTGGAGCCCAAGCATTGACAGGTGGGTGTGTCCTCAGAGAAGGGCAGTTCCTGTGGGATGTCAGCTCAGCACCCGGGAGCAAAGGGCATCCCCATGTGGGGGGGCGTAAGTAGCAGCCACAAAAGGAGACTGGTTACTTACAGGGGGATTGATCAAATCAACATTGTAAGAATAATAGGATCTGAGTTACTCATTGTTGGAGAGGAGATAGGTACAGCTTAAAAAGGTTCCCACTGGCCAAATCAGGGATGATTTGAGTATCAAAAGACATAATGATAGTAAAAGATTATAACCCATGAGTCTACACAGATAAAAATAGACAATGAATAAATTGAAAATTTGGTGAGGAATATTTACAAAGTCTAAGTATCTCCACATAACTTATTCATTTATTACAAGGGGACACAGACAATTTCAGAGGGGGGGAATGGTAAAAAACAAAAACAAAACTTCTTTAGGCAAAGTGATTAAAATCACCAAACAACAGGACAAATTGAAATTTTGTGCCAGTGACAGGATCCAAAAGAGAAAAACACCACATCACTTCCATGGTATTCCTGCTGAAGATGCATAACTTGAATCTGATCATAAAGCAACAGCAGACAAATTCCAACTGCAGATGTTCTACAAAATAACAGCCTGTAGTCCTCAAGTGTCGAGATCATAAAAGTCAAAGAAGGACTAAGGAACTGTTTGCAGACTGAAGGAGAATAAAGAAACATGATAACTTATGCACTCAAAGAGCTCCAGGGGATAAAATTCCTTGCACTGTGCTTGCAACTTTTCTGTAAGTATGGGTATAAATAAAAAAATAAGTGTAATCTCAAAGCCAATAATGCAATACAATATAGGAAAATTAAAGGCTAATTCCACTTATGACCAAAAAAAATTTATAAATTTTTAGCAAATAAAAAAACAAATTGTTTTAAAATGTATCATCCACAAGAAGGATTTGCCCCAGGATTGTTAGATATCAGAAAAACTTATCAGTGTTACTACACTAAACTACCTTAAAAAGTATACTGAATTTACAGAGCAAAAACAAAAATTTAATCACATTAGGAGATTAATAAAGAACATGATACAAATTTTAAAAAACTATTCATAATTTTTCTAAATAACTCTAAGCAAGCTAGCAACAGGGGGGAAATTTAAAAATACAAGTAAAGATATTTATGGGAAAAAAACTAAAAGCAAACATAGTTGATACAAAACCTTAAAAATGATTCCCTTTAAAATCAGGAATATCCTTGAGGCCTAGTGTGCCACTTAAAAAAAAAAAAAAAGAATGTATTACAGTTCTAAGCCAATGCAAAAAGTCAAGACCAAAATAAAAGCTGTAAGAACTGAAAAGGAGAAAAACCCCTGATATTATGATGCTATAGAATTATAATAGCATGGTATTAGCAAAGGAATAGGAAATCATATAAATCGGTTTAGTTCCAGCTAAAATTCATTTATATGGGAGATGTTGTATAAAATAGCATATTATAAATCACTGTGGATAAACTATGAGAAGTTGGTGCTAGGCAATCCATATAGGAAAAAAATGAAAATTATACCCATACCTCATATCATATAAAAAGATTAAAAACATAAATGTGAAAGTCAAAAATTTTTAACACTTACTAGGATTAGGGAGACTTTTTTTTAATTAGCAATAATCGTGCCTCGGATAAACCTCATTGGCTACGATACTGCCACTGCGCAAAGCTTGGGAGACTTTTTTTTAAAGGACTACACAAAAAACATAGCCCTCAAAAATAAAACACTAATGATTTTGACACATTAAAACCAAATCATCTGTATGACCAAAAAAAAAAGGGAAATGTGACAAACTCTTTGCACTAGATATAACAGACAATGGATTAATATGCAGAATATACAAAGAAATCTTACAAATCAATAAAAAATAGAAAAAGTCTAACAGATATAAAACTTGATGGCAAAAAAAACAAAAGATACTTAATGTCACTAGTAAACTAGAGGTGCAAGTTAATACTACAATAAATTATCACTGCATACCCACAGTAGGGCTGGAAGGGCTAATTTTTATAAGAGGGGGGTCAGTGAAAAAGAACTCTAAAATATTGGTAGATTGTAATTTAACACAAGCTCAAGAACAATTTGGCAATGCCCCATGATTGCTCTATTTATTTCTGGCTAGAGAAACTCACATGTGCCTAAAGAAGCACTATACACTGCAGGCAAATCGCAAAAAATTGGAAAGAACCTGTCCAACCATTAGGAAATAAATAAACAAACGGTTACTTTTTCTCCACATGAAAGAACAGCTATAAACAATAAATCAGACCTTTGTGGCTAAATGTCAAATACAAGGTGAGTTAAAACAGCAAATGGCAACACTATAGTATAATGGACCCTATGTCATAAAAGCTCACAAAATGCTACTATATATTGTTCATATATATATGTGTGTGTGTCGGTGTGGGTGGGTGTGTGTGGGAGGGGGTAAAAGTGTTATATCATACAATAGAATGATATCCACAAACTTTTGACACCTCTGGGAAGGGTAAAAAGACACAGGGCTTCATCTGGCCTGTAATGTTTTACATTTTACATTTTAAAATCTCTTAGTAGGAGGGATGCCTGGGTGGCTCAGTCGTTAAGCATCTGCCTTCTGCTCAGGTCATGATCCCAGAGTCCTGGGATGGAGCCCCACATTGGGCTCCCTGCTCCACGGGAAGCCTGCTTCTCCCTCTCCCACTGCCCCTGCTTATGTTCCCTCTTTCCCTGTCTCTGTCAAATAAACAAATAAAATCTTAAAAAAAAAAAATCTCTTAGTAGGAAGAGCATGCAACTCTTGATCTCAGCATGGTGAGTACAAACGCCATGTTGGATGTAGAGATTGCTTAAAACAAAAAAATAAAATAAAATAAAAATTTTAAATAAGTAAAAAATAAAATCTGAAACAAAATGGTAATTCATTAAAGGTAAATTGTTAACATCTCTATGGAAAAGTGTGGGAGTGGGAGAAGAGATCTGCCTCAGACATAACTGATTGTGGGTTCTGGGTAATGATAGTTTTCACCATAGAGATGAATATACCAGTGCTAAAACACTCCAGAAGGGAAAGCAGTTAGTGAAGTAAGGGGCCAGTAAGCAGGATGCTCAATCATAAGGTAATTTATACACTGAAATAAAAGGCAAACCAAGAAGAAATGCCTTCAAGGGCCAATTATATCCCATTGATGAAATAAATGCAAATTCCGATTCAAAAGAATAAAATAAAACACAGTAACCCAGGGCACCTGGGTGGCTCAGTAGGTTAAGCATCTGCCTTCGGATCGAGTCCCACATCAAGCCCCCCATCAGGCTCCCTGCTCGGCGGGAGGCCTGCTTCTTCCTCTCCCATTCCCCCTGCTTGTGTTCCCTCGCTCGCTGTGTCTCCCTCTGTCAAAAAAAAAAAAAAAAAAAAAAAAACCACAGTAACCTATCACATTCTTCCATACCACTACAAACCCACCATAGACTCTTCTAGATGACATTTAATCCAGGGTTGATCAAATCCACATTTTTTTAGCTAAATTATCTCATTTCATGGTTAATTTGTAGTACCTTCTCAAACAATTATACTTATTCACCCCCTGAATAATTATTTGTTGAGTCTCTGAATATAAGCAGCATTTTGCCAGAGGCTATGGGGGTATACGATGGGAAGAGATTGGAAGCTCTTTTCTTCAGACTCATTTAATCCATGTAAAAAACTATGATATAGTTACTGTTTTTCCCAACTTACAGGTAAACTGAGATTCAGAAAACTTAAAATCTACCTTGAATCACCACGCTGACATAGCATGAGCCCTAATTCAAATTGTTTGTCAGACAATCTCAAAACCCATACCTTTTCACTATACAATTAGCTCTCAAGCCCAGGGGAGATCTTTTGTCTAACTGTCCTGCTCTACTTTATATGGGCTATACTCACAATATACCATGAGTTACATTTTTCCAAGCCGCACACAACAGAGTCAGGCTAGAAGACCGACATAACTTTTGAACCAGTAACTCTGACTCTGTGATTTAGAAGTTAATGAGAGAAAACCTGGAAAAAAAAACCCAAAACACAAACTTTACTCCAGACCAAGATTAAAAAAAAATTGAAAAAGTTAAGAAACAAAGTTAACAACTAAAATCCTCCACACCAGGCACTGTACCAAGAACTTTACATATACTTCCAAAATCTAATTACCACATTATCACACATAGCATGAGCATCATCAGCTCATTTTACAGGTGAGGAAACATCTGTATACAAATAACCTGCCTAAATTCATACAGCTAGTTATGTGAAGCAAGGATCTGAACCAGGTAGTCTGATTCCCAAGTAGGCATGATTAATCACTAACAGTTTTATCCACTTTTTTGTACCCAGTGAGAAATGTATTTTTTATTTTAGATCGTGATCCAATATGCACACACACATATAAAAGTAAGCCAACTTCTACAAAACACTATTTATCTTAATAATATGTAGCAAGAAAAAAATGCTTTTAAGATGGTTTTGGGTCATGAAATTAACATCTCATGAACCATGACTGAAAAATGCACAATGCCTAATTGATCCAAAGATACAGTATTTATTACAATTATAGCCACAAAAAAAGAAAAAACAAAAAAAAGAAAAAACCAAATGGCACTAAATGGTCACAGAGCTGAGTGATAATTATGAATATTAAAAAAAACTGCTATTCGGAGAAAATACAATATGTACATTACTTAGATGATGCATAATGCTTATATACGTGGGAAATATATAAATATAAAATAGCTGTCAAGGTAAAAAAGGATATAGACAATTACATTTTTTTTTAATTTATAAAGGTTTTTATTTTAACTTACAAACTGTTGAAGAGACAATAACCACTTCGCTTTTATTTTCTTGGCGTGAAAGTAATTTACCAATGTGTTCTTTTTTAAACACCTGTTCCAGATCACGGTACAAAGTTTTTCAATCAGTTGTATAATGGTAGCAAAATTTTTACGCCAAAATATACAACGGTAAAACAAATCAAACCAAAATCCCCTAATATTTTAAAAGTGACAAGGTGGAACCAAATAACTTACATTAAGAGAACGTGAGAACGTAAGTTTGCAAACACATCCTAAATCCACACACATTTAAGCGTTACAGAAATATGCTCCCTCCCACCCCTAACCCTTCACCCGGTGCCTTTGACCTTCCCCAGAAGTCCCTCTGAATCTGTCTCAGACTTCAAGAGGAGGCGGCTGGGCCACCTGTCTCAGGTCTGGCTCTGGCCTCCTCATCTGCCAAAGCCTCACAGTACTGTGCTGGCCAGTCCTTGGGGTCTTGATTATGGACTTTGGCCACAAACTTAAGAACTTTCATCTTGCTGGTTTCCAGGTTGGTTCGGGGGCCCCACTGTAATTCATAGTCTACAGGATCAGTGTGGGGTATCCGCCGGTACTCCAGGTAACGCTGCCGCACAAATTCTTCGGTAATAAGTTTCTTTGGGTCCCCAAAGACTAAATGCTTTTTTGTGGGGTACACCCCTAAGCGACGCAGGAAGTCCCAGACCTCCGTTTCCTTGATGGTATTGCCCTTCATAAAGATGAGACCTAAAACAATCATCAGGAGGCCGGTGGTGGGCGTGCCCTGATCGCCTCTCACCTCGGCATCCTCCTCCACCGGTTCCAGAGTGTTGATCAGGATGTAGGTGTTGCTTTTGGGTTCCAGTTCCACCAGCTTGTACCCGAAGACGTACTCGAGGCGCTCGGCAGCCAGTTTAAGGAGGTCAGGGAAGATGTCCTTGTAGTCCCCGATGACGTGCTTCAGTATGTCAGTGCGCTTGATCGGGATCTTCTTCTGGTCCTTAATCAGCAAGAACTGCACCAGCTCGGCCACCTTCAGCTCCAGCTGCTGCTGGGACCTGGGCCCCACCTCCGGGCAGGCCTCGGCCCGGCGGGAGCCCTGCGACGATGTGCTCCGGGTCTCCTGGGAGCTGCCCGCCCCGCGGGAGGTGCTCGGGGCCTCCTCGGCCGCGCCGCGGCCCCAGTCCCTCTCCGCCTGGGAGCTAGGGCGGCCCCGGCTCCTCGGTTTCTGCAACATGTCTCCGGCTGCAGAAGCCCTAACGGGCGGCGGCGGCAGCGGCGGCGGCAGCGGCGGGATCGCAGCGCGCAGCGGGAATTGTGGGTTGGCGCGCGGCACGGCTGGGCGGCCTTGGGCGGGGCCCGAGGGGGCGCGCGCTGCATCACGGAGACCGCGCCTACGTCGGCGGAGACTGCGCGTTGCGTCGGGGGCGTCTGCCCGGCCGCGGCGCGTCGGCGTAAAGCCGCGGAGTCCTAGCAGTGGTTCTTGTTGGAACCTAAAGTGTCGTCTTCACCAAACCACCCAGACAGAGAACAGGAACCAAAACTCTTAAGCAAGTGTGCGGCTAAGCTCAGGACCACAAGGGCTCAGGCAAGTACTGCAGAAAATGAGTATTAAGAGTTTTAAAATCGCGAATATTTTTAGATGGAGGGAACTCAAAGTCTAAATGTGGGAGAAAAGTAAGGTGAGGAGGAAGGTAAGAGCGTGAAAGTGAAGTAAAAGCATTTCCTTCTACACAAAACGACGTAAAAAGAATAAAAGACCCAGATGATCCCTAACTACGTTTGCCTTCGCCACGCCCTCCCCTTGGCTCAGGTTCAAACCCTCGTAACCATTTACCACTAGTGACTTTCTCTAATGCCCCTAAGAGTTTATTGAAAACGAATGTTTGGTAAAAGCAAGCTTGCCTTGCAAGCAAGACTCTTAACCGCGTTTTCACTCTTTCAGTATTCATCGTCTATGCATTAAATTCCCTCTGCTAGACAACCAGGACAAAACCACCACATAAAACACGTTACAGTGAGGTCTTCTTGCTTCTCTCTTTCGGAAAGCACTTGCTCATGTAAACTGCCTTGGGCCCACAACCACAATTTTCGCAGAAATGGCTAAGAAGAATGCTACAAACAGAAACGTGGTCTCTCAAAAGAGATTCCCATCTAATTTTGGGCATCACTGATCAAGAACTGCAATAATGTTAATCTATTAAATTTCTTAATTTTTAATATCTTAGCCTTAGGGCTCAAGAGAAAGAAAAGAGAACCCAGGGGTGTCAGTCCTCATAATCTGTGATGTGTGCACTTTGTATATATATTTTTAATTGTGCAGCTCTAATAGCCTACATGAGTCATTTCATTAACTCAAACCATCTGCAGTCTGCTGCCATTACTTCTGCAGATCTTAGCAAATGCGTTCCTTTTCTGTTTACTGACTTGCAGAGAAACTGAATTTCCTACTTTGTCTTTTGAAAGCTGCCCAGAAAGTGGGAAAACTTCAAAGAACCAAATCAAATCGAGTTCCTCTTTAATGCAAATATAGTCAAAGGAAAGCAATTCAAAACACATTATTTGAATAATAGCATCAAAACACAACCTTATTAAAATTTCATTAAGTGTTAGTAACATAAAATTTTTGTTTGTAATTCAATATGAAAATGCAATCTGATAATGGCCCTGGAACTGCAAATCTAAATGTAAAATGATATTCCATGTTGTGATGCAAGTACGCTAGGATCTGGTAAACTATGAGTAATAACTCTCTGTTCCACACAAGATCTAACAATATATCCTCCTCAAGCATCCATCTTAATGACAGAAGCCTACTAAGAAAAACAAATATATCATCAAGGCATTCATTTTTTTTTGACAATGAGAAAATTCATCTGCTTCATTTTCCTTACAAATTTGGACTTATGTTAAACTCCTGCAATCAAGAATTCTGCAAAAGTTCCCTCCAGAAGGATCAGTTGTACCCTGAGTTATTAAAAAAAGAAAGAAAAAGAGAGAAAGAAAAAATCAACCAACAGATAACAGAGAAATGGAAAATGAGATGAAAACCATTGTCAACAATTAGGCTGCATTTTCAGTATAAATCTGCAGTGTCCTTCAGCAGCATATTAATTCAGCAGATTGTCATACTCAAAATAGGTCAGAAAAGATACTGGTTAACACCAGTATCTCTATACTGTGTCCAGGAGAATGCAGGTATGAAAATACAGACATAAAATAATAGTATTAGAATGAACTTTAGGCATCGTATGGAGAAGTCATCCAGACCACCCTCCATTTTAGAATGACATGGAAAGCCATGGATGTTTGGGGGAAAAACTGTTGTGATGATGATGATGGTAATAACACTGACAGTAATAATACATAGAAACAACAGCTGACAGTTATTACAAAAGTAACTGTGGGTCAGACTCTGTTCTAAGTGGTCTACATGGATTACTTCATTTAATCACCATGACAACCCTATGAGACCTGTTTGTTTATTATGTTTCTCTTCTCACAAAGGAAGAAACTGAGGCACAGAGGAAAATATTAGCAAATAAGTGATGGATCTAGTTCTGAATTAAGATATGGTGCCTCCAGACATTGCTCTTAACCATATGTTGAAGCAGACAGAACATAATAAATACGATGTCCTTGAAAAAGCAAAGGTATGGAGTTAGCTGGACCTAGATTAGAAATCTGTGTAACATTGGGGGAGCTACTGACGCTCCTTTCTGTTTCCAGATCAACAAAATGAGATTACCGTAATCTCTCCTTATCCAGAGGGAGTACGTTCCAAGACCCTCAATGGATGCCTAAAACTGCAGATAGACCTGAATCCTATATATACTATGTTTTTTCCTATACATGCATATATACCTATGATAAAGTTGATCAGTTAGGCACAATAAGAGATTAAAAGCAATAACCAATAATAAAATAGCACAATTATAACAATATATGTAATGTAAAGTTAGTGTAAATACGGTCTCTCTCAAAATGTCACCCTTCTTATGATGTGAGATGATAAAATGCCTACATGATGAGATAAAGTGAGGTGAATGACGCAGGCACTGTGATGTAGCGTTAGGCTATTACTGACCTGAGAATATGTCTGAAGAATCATCTGCTTGCAGACCACGGCTAACCAAGAGTAACCGAAAGAGCAAAAAGCGAAACCACAGATAAGGGGGGACTACTCTAATAACCCAGGCATCAGGGAACTAATGAGATAGGTTTGCCAAGTACCTAGCACAAGGCTGGGACCGGGTAGTTGATAACAGTTTGCTTCTTTCCACAGGGTTTATGTTAAGGAAAATATCTGAGGACTCTACAAAGCTGTATGTAGAAAGATGTTTGCTGAAGTGAAACACTTGTACACACAAAAATGAGAAAAAAGTCTGGAAAGAAACATTTTAAGGTGCTATTAAAATTATTTCCTTTTAAAAATGAAATTCAGTGTTGATTGTCTTGCTTGGGAGATAAGTGAGAAATGTATTCTCAATGATTTTAACGTCCTAGTGACACCACGCCCCAGCAGTCATACATATTCAAATTTTCAGTAAATTCAGTGTGACTTGAATATGACATTTGTGACTTTGTTCAGCCAGTGAAGAAATAAAGACAAGTGGTTTAAAAAGAAAAACATTTTCAGTTTATGTTAATGACCTTAATACTTTTATTACTAGACCCAAAAGAAAAAGAAGGAAAAATTCCTTGAGGCAAAATTCGACTAGCTAGGATTTCAAATGCATTAAACAAAGAAATGCCTACCAGTTAGCACTTGCTCTTTAGATGTCTCTGAGTAATTAATTGCTTTATTTCATCTCCTTGGTAGCAAATGACTGCCAACAAGCTCTAATCATCTTTATTATCTACTGGATTCTCCTCTTCATTCACTGGTATTTCTTGCAGAACCAGAGAAAGGTTTTAAATTTTCTCAGCAACCTAGTGCAAAAAGGAGGTAAGGGCTTTCTGGGGGAGAAAAGCAATGATAAAAGCATGCAGCCACCGTATATGAGCAGCTTCACTGCCTTTTCCAGTGAAAGAAAGTGGGACAATGTGTAGCATGTGAGCAAAGGAGTTGGAGCTGGGAAGGCAGATACTATTTTGGTGAGTAGATAGGAGGAAAAGGATTCCAGATACTTTAACGGTTGCAGTAAAATCCCTTGTGTCCACTCATCCGTAATAAAGATCCGTACAGGTTAAAAGACACAATAGGACTACTCGATAACACTTTGTCCCTCGTGGAAGAATACTTTAAATGGCAACAAAGCTTTCCTTGGCTGGTGGAAGGGGGTAGAGAGATGTAGCTTGATGAGATAGCTCTTTCCAAGCACTGCAGCTATTTGGCCCAGAAACACCTTCTTAGACTCTTTTCAAGAAATACAAACCTTCCAGTTATGCAGGGCCTTTTACTTACGAAAATCATTAAAATCTATTAAGTTATAAAATTACAAACATAAGGTCTCAATAGTGGCCAATAAATTTCTTATTTGCTTGTTTTTGCCTCTTGTTCTGCATCTTTTCCTTTTAGGAACTGCTTCTTCCAATCTCTAGGAGACCTTGGTAAGGCTCTACCTTTCTTTCCTGAGTGCATGAGATGCAGGCCAGCCACAGCAACTGGTTCAAAGGTCAGTCCACAGCCTTTCAGAGTTCACATAGGTTCTCTTTCTCCAAGCCAACAAGCTGGGTGGTGATGTAAGCCTAGCCACCTTTGCCTTTGCTTGGACATAGCCTGCCTCATGGTGAAGCCAACTCAAAGATCTAAGAGAGAAATAGTCTTAATGCTGCCATCTGAATTTCTGGATCCTGAGTTCAAGGTCAAACTCCTGGGGATAACTACTTATTGAAGCAAGTCAAATCTCCTTTTACTTTATCTTCTTTCGGTTGGTTCTCCTTACTTGAAACTGGAAAAATTCTGGCTAAACAGTATCCAAACCCAATTAAGCAGGAGAATAAAGGGTACTAAGGAATGAGACTTGGTTTAAAGAGAATGGAGCTAGACAAACTTAATATTACCTATAAGGTTATTGAATGTAATGAGAGGCGATCTGAATACAATTTGACATTTTTATTATTTCTTGGCATGTTCTGTGGTTGAGGAATGCACCTATGATTTTAATTGCTGGCAATAAGGCCAAAGTAGAAATCATGAAAGAAAGACTGTTCTTCCATGTAAAATGTACATATGAACTAATCTGGTGATTTACCTCTACAGAAAGAAGTTTCAAACAACCTAGAATGTATTTTAAAGTATTTGTTTGTATAGAGTAGCTGTGTTCTCCATATTTAACACAAAGCATTTCCCCATAGGCCACACCATTAAAGGTGACAGAAGCCTCATTCTTT